GATGAGGATGCTGAGATGGATGTGTGGGTGTACCAGGAGAGATAGGATTAAGAATGAAGCTATTCGGGACAGAGTGAGAGTAGCCTCCGTGGAGGACAAGATGCGAGAGTCAAGGCTGAGATGGTTCGGACATGTTAAGAGAAGAAGCATTGATGCTCCTGTTAGGATGTGTGAGAGGTTGGCTGTGGAGAGTTTGAGAAGAGGTCGAGGCAGGCCTAAGAAGTACTGGGGAGAGGTGATTAGGCAAGACATGGCGCTGCTTCAGCTCACTGAGGACATGACCCTTGATAGGAGGGTGTGGAGGACGAGGATTAAGGTTGAAGGTTAGTAGGTAGTTTATAGTTGTTCACCGATAGTCTTAGTAGCATGGATGTCTCTTCATATTCTTAGATTCTTATTACGTTATGTGGTTTTGTTCGCCTCAGGTATTGTATTCCCTGTTACTATTATTTGGTACTACTTATCCTTTATCTCTCCCTTTTTCTTTTTTCTTCCATCTTTCTTCCTTCCTTGCTTTCCTCCTCTTCTTCTTCTTGCCCTTCCTGAGCCGAGAGTCTATTGGAAACAACCTCTCTACCTACATTAGGTAGGGGTAAGGTCTGCGTACAGACTACCCTCCCCAGACCCCACCTGTTGGGATCAAACTGGGTATGTTATTGTTGTTGATTTTCTTGGTTCAATGTGGTGCAACTGCAATAATGTTCTGAAGGTTGTACTGGTGGTGGACTTACAAATTACTGGAAGGGCCTGCTAGCATATAACTTCTAATATAGTCTTGTTAGTTAAACATGTTAACTTAGGTCTGAAAGGACATATTTCAACTCTAATCTCCTTTACTCCTGTAATAACTCATCTTTCTTCTAATAAGAAAAAAAATATGATTTTTAAATTTCGTTCCTTATTCTTCTGCACACAGTGATGGATTCTTTTTTGCGGTCAAGGAAGTTTCGTTATTTGACCCAGGAAACCAGCAAAGCCTTTATCAATTGGAACAGGTATACTTCTGCATCTATTGGCCATTTCACTGCTTATCTTTTGGCTATTGTTTTTCCCATTCTCCTAACACCTTGTTTGTTTGTGCAGGAGATATCTCTTCTAAGTCAGTTTCGACATAAAAATATCGTTCGCTATCATGGCACAGAGAAGGTATGCTATCATAATCTAGATTATGCATCTTCTTCAGATTTACTTCCTTTTTGCTGTGTAAGTTTTGTTAGATTATAATGAAACTGTGCTTTACATGGACAAAGCTACTATTAGATGGTTTGAATAGAGAAACTCTTTTCTGTAGTTGTGCAGCTTAGTTGGGAGTTGGATCTTTTAATTGGTAACATCATCTGCTAAATGGAGATCTGATGACATTGATCTTATAATGACAAACTTATGAGAAAATTATTCTTCTCATCTTTTACTTACAAATTCACAACGTTCTTCTATCTTCAGGACGAGAGCAAACTGTATATCTTTCTTGAGCTTGTTACAAAAGGTTCACTTGCAAGTGTCTACCGCAAGTATCGCTTGCGTGATTCCCATGTTTCAGATTACACCAGGCAAATTTTGAGTGGGTTGCATTATCTTCATTCCAGAAATGTGATTCACAGGTGATACATACGTTCTCTCTACATTGCTGATTTGTGGTCATTACGAGCAGTGACCAGTGTCTTGATTCTTTGCTGAGATGTGTGCATGTGAACTTTTCTTTTCATCGCTAGAAGACCGTTTAGTCATCAATCATCATACCATGTTTCTAAATAAATGACTTAGGTCTGAGGGGATTGTCTGTGGGCATTTCTTGTTAGGAATATCTTGCTGTGATATCATCAAGCTACAGCATTATCCTGGTATCTTCATGTGAGCTGAAGTTGGCACAAATAATTATTTTGTCTTCATCAAACCTATGAAGAAAGAATATCATAGGCTGGTCGATAAGTTTGTGCTCTTCTGCATTTACATTCTCGGTGCTTTAGGTTGTTCTACTCTAGCACCAGAATGCTTACTCAAGAAACTAGAGGAAGAGCCGGAATTTCTTATCTTTCTTTAATATGATAGGACAAAAACGTCAGATGGATATGCCATTTTCTTGATCTGCTTGCCATAGCAGCTGGGTGCTCTTTTCGGAGAAATTAGAGAGAGAAGGGAACTTCTTCTCTTTCTCAATATGGTAGGACAAGGACTGCAGATCAATATGCTCATGGAATTTTACCAATCAATAATAATAATAATAATAATAATAATAATAATAATAATAATAATAATAATAATAAATAAATAAATAAATAAAAAATAAAATAAGAAGAGGCTCATGGAGTGGTGTTATTGGGGAACTTTTGGAAGGTGTATGCGATGTGATGTGCCTGTATGAGTTCATTTTAAATGTGGTCCTTGCAGCTTACCAATAGCTTCGTTCCTCCATATCTGCAAAGAACTCTAATTGGGAGGTTGTCAAATAAGTGTTGCTCCTGGCTTTGGTTAAAAGGGAGGATGATAGGGGAAAGAGGATCAAATAGCTGTTAGCCTGTCATGTTGTTCTGTACATTCTGTGACACTAATATCTGTATGACTAGTGAGAATCTGGAAAGTTCAAGTACATTTTACATGATGTCATGGAAACTTCTTCTTTCTTAGACTTTTTCGAGAAATTGTTTCTAAGATTTCTATTTATGCTCTTCTTGAAGGGACATTAAGTGTGCCAATATTTTGGTGGATGTTAGTGGTTCTGTGAAGCTTGCAGATTTCGGACTGGCAAAGGTGAGATAGTTATGCAGTCTGTAGTTTTTTCCTTTAGTTGGTCTTATATCAATCAATCAACTAAGTCTTAATCGCGTACTAGTTGAGTCGGCTATATGAATTTCTCTTATTTGTTCCACTTCTATTCATCCTGGTTCATTTTGATACCTAGTTACTGTCTCTTGAAACAAATTAAGACTTCTCTATTTCCTTCAGTCTTGTAACTTGCTAAATTTCTTTACAGGCAGCAAAATTGAATGACATCAAGTCTTGCAAAGGAACTGCATTCTGGATGGCCCCAGAGGTTTGTCTTCTGCATCAGAATTTCTTGAAAATTGGATGTCTACGATTCCTACTCTCTCCCCCCTTCCCCCCTAAAAAAACCTGCTCACCATAGATGTGCATGCTCAAAAGTAGTTGGGGTCATGGGAAAAGTAGCGGATACAATCTTTCAGCCTGTACAATATGTTTGATGCTTTTTATCCGCCCCGCACTCCCTATGCAGACTTAGCGCAGAATAGCGCACAATGGAAGAAAAAGATCCATATAGGCGATATCAGTTAGTTGTGAGTAATGTTTAGTTCAATAGGAGTCTTTTAGTTTTGTTAAGAGTCTTAGAGATTTGTACGACAATAGAAAATGTAGAGAACCTTTGGTACTAGATGACCTAAATTTTCAAATATCGGATTGATACGGGTCTAAATGGAACGACATGGTTAGCGAGGGTTCCTATAGCTGATCTAATTAGCTCGGGATTTAGGCGTAGTTGCTGCTAGCGCCTCACTCAGGGGTTTCTTTGCCATTCTAAAATTCATCCTGTATCGACACATTTTGTTGTTCCTTTTAAATTTTTAATTCATTTTCAAAATAAATAAATAAATTAATTCATTTTAATGAGAAGCTATTAAATAATGTTCTATAAGTGGTCGCTTAGGTTTGGTAAAAGATAGATACATGCAAGTTGTACATGTCTATGCTGCAAAGGATGTGTAAAGTGTTGTAAAATCACAGTAGTTTGGATAAAAGCTGCTTGTGCAATTATGTAGCTAATGAGATACAACGTGACCATTTAGGAGTAGATTTTCATATATCTTTGCTGAAGCAAATGTCTGTTGGGAGAATCATAACACTTCTAGTTAATCTGCCTAGGAGATGTTGTTGCATACTTCACCCATTAAGTTTGCCATATTAAAGATTATTTCCAGGTGATCATATTGTTGATGATCATATTTACTCTTTGCTCTAATCTGTTTGCATTTTTTTTCTTATTGTTTGAGTGTATTAATATAGTAAAAGAAAGAGTTCTAGATATTTACAGGTTTGGCTCATAAAATTTGTCTTAGAGCTGTTTCAGGTCGTTAATAGGAAGAACAACGGATATGGGCTTCCTGCTGATATATGGAGTCTGGGTTGTACTGTCTTAGAGATGTTAACTGGCCAAATTCCTTATTCTCACTTGGAAGGGGTATGTTATAGCTCAACGATCAAATTTTTCTACATGGAAATTGCAACATTTGATTTATAACATCTGTTTTGTTTGAGTTGGAGTATGGGAATGACTTGACCCGATTCTAAAATTATTTTCCTGCTTGTTTAATGTATGAAACCACTGAAAGTTATAGCCTAAAGTCAAATAGGAGGTTATACCTCATAAAAAAAAAAGGGTCAAATGAGGTTATTATGAACTCAAATGCAAAGCTTTAGTGACAAATATATTTTGAAGAAGTTTACATTCACGATCTAGGAGCAGACAACTGCAGTGAAGCAGCTGTATGCTAATTTTATGCTTTCTCTTTTGACTGCCAGTATAAATTTTCCTGAAAATATTCTTCCATTTAGCATAAGCGTTTACTGGTCTTTCAGCTTTTTTCCTCACTTCAATTGTAATAGATGTTCTGTAGCTGTAGCTGATCTAGAATTCAGAGGCAACATCTGTTGCATGAGATTATAAAGCCAGTCTAAGAGCCCGTTTGGACATAAGAAATTTTTCCTTTTTTTCCAAAAAAAATTCACTTTTTTTCAAAATCAGCGTTTGTTCATAAAATTTTCAAATTTCACTTGAAGATACATTTTGTAAATTTTCGAAAATTTAAAAAACTCCAAAAAGTTGTTTTTCAAAATTCACTCAAATCACTCACAAAACTTCAAAAACAACCCAAAATTATATTCATGTCCAAACACAACTCTAAATTTCAAATACCATTTTCACTTGAAATTTTTTTTCCCCCCTATTTTGAAATTTTACAATTCTTATGTCCAAACACCCACTAAGTCTCTTGTATTCTTGGAAAAAGTTCAGTTTTTTTATTGTTTAAATTTTTATTATATTTTTGTCTGTGATTTTAATTTAGAATGTTAGTGTTGGTAAATACCTGATTATTACAACAATATGTGCCCTGAATTTAGCCTGTTTGGCCAAGCTTTTTTTGGGGCCAAATGTGCTTTTTTGGCCAAAAGTACTTTTGGCCAAAAATTGAGGTGTTTGGCCAAGCTTTTGGAAGGAAAAAAAGTGCTTTTGAGGAGAAGCAGAAGCAGTTTTTGAGAACCAGAAAAAAGTTGCTTCTCTCCAAAAGCACTTTTCTCAGAAATACTTTTGAGAAAAATACACTTAGAAGCAGTTTTCAAAAGCTTGGCCAAACACTAATTACTGCTCAAAAGTGCTTTTCAAATTAATTAGCCAAACATAAACTGCTTCTCACCAAAAACACTTTTTTAAAAAGTACTTTTGAGAAAAGCACTTCTCAAAATAAGCTGATTTTAGAAGCTTGGCCAAACAGGCTAGTAGTTTCTTGTAGCCAAAAGGAAGACATTCTGAATGTTGTTACATGTTACTTAAACAATGGCACTTCATTAAATATGAATAGGCAAAAGAAGAAATAAAATATGGTTTATGGCTTAGAGAAACTCTAGTTTACCTCAGGTATTGCGGAGATTCACATGTCAAGCTCTTTTTAATTGGTTTGTGCGACAGATGCAAGCACTGTTCAGGATAGGCAGAGGCGAACCTCCTCCTATACCAGATACGTTATCGGCAGAAGCTCAGGATTTCATAAATAGATGTTTGCGAGTTAATCCAAATGATCGGCCAGCTGCAGCTGAACTACTGGAACATCCATTCGTAAAGAAGCCACTGTCAAATTTCTCAAGTCCTGCAGCACCATAAATTCTGCTGTCAATTGTAGTGAGGTAAATACCCTCTACATCTGTCAAGTTATAGGGAGTTCTACTATAGTTCTGTCCTCCTATCCACAAACTCAAGAGAAAGAAAGTATTATATTGGAGGGGATATGAAAATGCTTTTTTGGTAGCATTGAGAAATCTTACTTCTTTATAAAATGGGCTTATAAAAGACTATTGAGTTAAGTTTCCCTTTGGGAAGAGACAAACGTTTTTGCTTCAGCTTTTTTAATCTCACAAGTCACCTTAGATTTGAGGTCCACAATTAATTCATTACTGTCACTCTTAGGATTAGTATTCATTGTTAAGGGGAAAAATTTAAGGTCTATTATGTGTTTCTCTTGTATTTGTTTGTTAGTTTTTTTTTTTCCTCATTCACCTGCCTAGGATTCACACTTGCACTGACATGGTTTGCATTTTGCTGCAGTGCAGTATACTGTTATGTCTGCAAGTACTGGTCTGATGCTTTTAGGAATGTGCAAGCCAAGGATCAGTTTCAAATGAGATGCTTGTACAGCGAATTGGTTTGTGTAGCATCCGAGAAGTCTTGTGAACTGAAATTGCAAATATTTGGACGTGAGCAGTTGAATACAGATGGGCCCATTGTATGTTGTAAGTAGAATGAGCAACAAAGTTCATGTGTTGCATTTGTGCCTGGACGTGTTCTATCTATCCAAGATAGACTGTAGATTATTAGTGAATTAGATGATAACCTTATAAAGGAAATTGTAAATAGTAGATAAATGGGTAGTATTTGTTTGGTTACACAAAAATGTTTACAGTTGAAAAATGAAAATGCGTTTTTGCTGTTTTTCCCCTGCTACGTTAGATGTGTAACATGCGATAGACTTTGTTAAATTTCCTCATTGACCTTATCTGAAGGAAGAAGTAACTGTTCTTGCCAAGATTGCCGAGAAGTGTGGTATGATCGAGGTTCATATCATTACTACTGTAATATACCCTGCTAGAAAAGTCGTGTCCTTGCCAATTACTCCCTGTTTCTACCTTAATAAATATTAATTAGGAAAAGGATTGGACTATTCTACCCTTATTTATGTCATAGGATGTAATTTCTTCATTGAATATTTATTCTATTTATGTGTTATCTGCATCATCAAGAATAATTATTCTAAGGGTGAAAAAGAAAAAAAAATAATTAATTTTATTTTGAACTTCTAAAATGATAAATAATTTGAGACAACCGAGTATTTTTTAGAGTGGTGTATGTCAGTTTCCCGGTTTTTTATGGGTCAATTGGCTGGATCAATTAGGACTAAACAGTGGGTCATAACTCAACTAGTCATACTTAAGCATTTTTCATGTTTATTTGCTCTTTTAGAATTTGGTTAATTATCTAAATCAAAGTTACATTTTTTTCCCCTTTTATCTATCATGACCGTAACCAACCAAGTTTGATTTTTTTATTTTTATATTTAGACAATTCCCCCCCCCCCCCCCCGCGGCGGTTAATTGAGGTACATAAGCTGTCCAAATTGGTCCAAACTTTTAGTTGAATTGACTTGGGTTATGCTCAAATTTACCTGTCAACGGATATATACTCACTCCAATCGGTCAAATTGGAACAGGATGAGCAGGTAAAAATAGGCTAGCTAGTTTTCGGACTGGTAATTCAAAAAATAATCAGCGTTTGCAAAGTCATTGAAAAATAGCTACTATTTTGCTGCAACACGGACCGGTCCACCATAATATACTGGAGATTGGTTCATCTGTGTATGAACTTCTAGCATATTATGCTTGAACTCCAACACGCAAAAAGTTCCAGCATAATATACTTGAGATTGGAGCACATGTGTATGAACTTCCAGCATATTATGTTTGACCGATATATTATACTGGAACTCCAGTATATTATGCTGGAATATTTTTCGGATTTTGAACAGTGTTTTCGTTCAAATTTATCTTTGCATGAAAAGTGGCTAAAATTCGATTACTTTTGAAACTGTGACTATTTTTCAATTATCACTTGTAAATCTGGCTATTTTTGAATTTCTCCCAAATGTTCATGAGTATTACATGTGTCATTTATGTTGTATCCAATTTTTCTAAAATATTTAACTTTGTAGCCAGTATTGACAAATTTCAGACAAAAGCTAAATTTTTCTAAAATATTAACTTTGTAGCCAGTATCTTGTAAATTTTTTACTTCTTTACTAAGTTGAAGCGCAAACCCATGATAAGTAGTCTGGTAGCTGTAAAGTATCTTATCTTCTTAAATTAATGTGCTTAACTAAGTCATGCTGCAATCTACCATTCAACCTAATGATAATCAAATTCTATTATGAAATAAGTAAATTACCAACTATTGTATTCATTATGAATAAGGAATTATAGCTATATCAAATGCTTATAGTAGACAATACTGAAGAGGTATAAAATACAAGGACACAAAAATATTTGAATATAAAACATTTTGCTTAACGGAAAACATATCTATAGAAGCTCAAACAAGAACTTAGATATAATTTCTCAGAAATGAGCGTAAAGAATCCAAATAGCTAAGATCTCCATAACCATTGGCCAAAATATTTGAAGTTAGAGTTCGTAGTCCCTTACTTCAAACATATCTAAATGTTGAACTACCAAGCCTAACGTCAGACATTTCAATCAATATGTCAATTTCAGACCTTTGGCAAACTCAACTTTCGATTTTGAAGCGGCTAAACTTGAAAATTTTATATTCTTCGGCATAAACCTCAAATGGCTATATGTGCACTTGACCCCAAATTTGAGTAAAAATGGCGTGTGGTAGCCACTAAATAAGGTGGTGTTTATTTTTTATCCACCAATTCTAATGTTGAGCAAAAATAGCCACTACTCTATTAAAATTAATATGAAAAGACATTTTTACCCTTTCTTCTATTTCTTTTATTCCCAAACCCTTCCTTTATACGCTTCTCTCATTTAAGTTCAGAGCCAAAATTTCATAGGCAAAATTTCGCTGCCTCAATATCGTTCCTGCATGCGACTCTCTTCTCTCGATTGAAGTTCAGAGCCAAACTTTCATAAGCAAAATTTCGCTCCCTCAATATCGTTCCTGCCCAGCCCACAATAATTCTCTGTGTATACTTTGTCCAACTTAATCTCTTCTCCTTTGTCATCTCTCTGCAGCGAACCAGCGTACTGGTATGTTTTCGATTTTGCTTTTATGCATTTTTCTTTTTGTATATCTCTAATCGTGATCAATGTTGTGTTTGTCATCAAGTATGTGTGAAATGTCCAAAATAATAATTATATTATAACTTGATTCGCTGAGGAATAAGGTGCAGATTTTTGTGAGAAAGTTATTGAGAACCTTTTGGTATTGAAATGTGTTTGTGGTTCAATCAATATATTGATT